CACTTATTTAATTTGATAAAGCTGACTGTTGGGTTTTACATTGTATAATTGTTTAAGTAGCCATTTTGGTAAATTGCAATTATTTTTCATTTATTTGTTTCTAAAACATAGGAACTTTGTTTTTCTACTATTGAAAACCATGTCCTCTGGTTTGACACTATTTGCAAATTTTTAAATCGGCAGTTCTATAAAAATAATCGAGATTTGTTGAGAATTTGTTCAGAATTTTACACATATTTAACTTTTTTGAACCATTATACAATTATTACGTTTTGTCGTCTTTTGGTAGGGTGTCAAGGTGGCTCAGTGGGTAGCACAATCACCTCACGACAAGAAGGTCACTGGTTCGAGCCATGGCTGGGCCAGATAGCATTTTTGTGTGGAGTTTGCATGTTCTCCCTGTGTTGGTGTGGGTTTCCTCCAGGTGCTTAAACAGACTGAGTACTGTAAAACCCAATAAGTTAAGGCAACTCAAACCATTAGGGCACAGGTGTCAAACTCAGTTCCAAAAGGGCCGCAGCTCTGCACAGTTTAGTTCCAACCCTAATTAAACACACCTGATCAAACTAATTGAGTCCTTCAGGCTTGTTTGAAACCTACAGGTAAGTGTGTTGGAGCAGGGTTGAAACTAAACTGTGCAGGGCTTCGGCCCTCCAGGAATTTAGTTTGACACCCCTGCATTAGAGGAAACCTTTTGCTTAAAAACACTTCAGTTAAAAAACTAATCTATTTGAGTAGTTGAAGTTATGAGGTAACTTATAACCTGAGATGAACTCATTACCTTCAACACCAAGTTCAAAACTTTTTTTTTAAATGAGTAGAATAAACTTTCAGTAAATTGAATTAATTTCATTGTATAATACAGTTAAGGTCAGAATTATTAGACCCCATTGAATTAGTTTTTCTTTTAAAAATATTTCTTAAATGATGTTTAACAGAGAAATTTTCACAGTATGTTTGATAATATTTTTTCTTCGTGAGAAAATCTTATTTGCTTTATTTTGCCCAGAATAAAAGCAGTTTCAAATTTTTTAAAAACCATTTTAAGGTCAAAATTATTAGCCCCTTTGAGCAATATATTATTCGATAGTCTACAGAACAAACCATTGTTATACAATAACTTGCCTAATTACCCTAACCTGCCTAGTCAACCTACTTTACATGTCTTTAAATGTCACTTTAAGCTGCATAGAAGTGTCTTGAAAAATATCTAGTAAAATATTATGTACTGTCATCATGGAAAAGATCAAATAAATCAGTTATTAGAAATGAGTTATTAAAACTATTATGTTTAGAAATGTGTTGACAAAATCTGCTCTCAGTTAAACAGAAATTAAGGTAAAAAATAAACGGGTAAATAATTCAGGTTGTGTGTGTGTGTGTGTGTGTGTGTGTGTTTATTTTTCACCACTAATCCTCCATTCTTCAATACAAATCAGCAAGAGATAAGCTATCTTTTCAACAAGCACAAACATCAGGTGTATATGCTTTGTGGGAACGTACAGAGTACAAAGAACAGTACAAGCCTGATTAATTACTTATTTAATTATTTGATTATTCATTAATCAAATCCAAAACAAAATGTTTCCTAGAAAAACTGCATGTGTAAAATCAAAGTTACACTTAAAAAGCAAGCGAATAATAATTAATGCTTACTGTCAAGTTCACATACATATGAAATAGTGCTTATCTTATCTGTAATGGATACTGATGGAGCATTTGAAAGTTTGACCAACTCGTGATACTGCAGTGTGTTTCCTGTTGCCTCTGAAAATCACATGTTACTTAGGGGCACATGTGTGTGTAAAGGGGAGGTGCAAAGTCTTCATATAAATAGCCATGGCTGACAAAACACAATAGTTCAATTCACACCAGTGCAACTATTCAAAGAGTCTGAATGATCAAGCTGGGAGAGAAGAGTCTAGTGCAGAAAAGGAAGTGAAACAGGAAGTCAGCATAATGGAAGATGGCAGCATTCAAGGCCGCATGGCTCCAAATGTTGGATCCATGTTGAAGATCAAGAATGAATACATTCGAGTGGCTTTGGCAGAAAGCCTCTGCACATTCATCATGATGGTAAGAGCTTGTTTCTTTTGTATGAATTCACTGTTATTTAATAGAGGCTAATTTACTGGCAATGCATTGCTGGTTTAAAACTGAATGAGTGTTTTACTGATGATTTGTTCTATTGTCGCTGTTCATTCATTCATGTTGTTTTCAGAAGATGATTGAGTGCTTGTCATTGTTTTGTTGTGTATAATATGGCCACAGCTTGCAGGATGAGACTGAATGGGTCAGACCATGTGCTATAAGTGCTATTTTTAGAAAGATTTGCTTGACATACTGCCAAATTCTAAAACATTGTTTCTGTCACTGACTACCAGTGGTGGAAATAGTACTAAAAAAAATCATACTCGAGTGAAAGTACCATTACTTGCCCAAAAATGTTGTGTATGTAGAGTAAAAGTACCTCAGTATCCCTCAAAGTATGAGTAAAAAGTATCCCTTTTAAAAAATGCTCCAGAGTAGTGAGTATTACGCTGTGAAAGGTTGATGCATTTACATGCAATTTGTGTGAAAACGTAACATTCTGTAGTGCATTTAGTTAATGTTTAATGCTATTTGGTGATTTCAGTCATCATACAGTAAACAAACATCCATCATATTCTCATTAGTGACATGCATAACAGTCTTAAGGTATTGGACATCTTCTTGGATACTTTTAATGCTCCCTATGATCCCCCCCCCCTTTTTTTTTAAACCGCCCATGTATTGAAGTTGTTCAGTATAGGATTTTTATTTCCGTCTGTCCGTCCGTTCGGGTCATGGAGGCAGCAGACTTAGGAGAGGATCCCAGACTCCCCTCTCCCCAGACGCTTCTGGGGAATCGTCTGGGGCATGCAGGCCAGCCTTGGTGGGAAATGCCTGGAACACCTCCCTAGATAGGCATTCAGGAGACATCTGAGACAGATGACTGAGCCACCTCAGCTGACATCTCTCGATGTGGAGAAGCAGCGGCTCTACTCAGAGCTTTTCAGGGTGAACCCTGCCACCCTGCAAAGGAAAATTACTTCTGCCGCTTGTATCTGAGATTTTGTCCTTGTGAGAGTAGAAACATAGATTGACCGGTAAATCGAGAGCTTTGCCTTTCGGCTCAGCTCCTCCTTTACCACAATTAACCAATACATTGACCACACTACTGCTGCCGCTGCACCGATCCGCCTGTTAATCTCACTCTCTATCCTTCCTTCACTCGAGAACAAATCCCCAAGATACTTGAACTACTCCACCTGGGGTAAGGATTTTCCTCCAACCTTTTTCCGGTGGAGCACCATGGCCTTGGACATGGAGGTGCTGATTCTCATCCCAGCTGCGTCACACTCGGCAACAAACCACTCCAGTGCATGCTGAAGGTCCATGTTCGATGAAGCCAACAGAACAACAACATCTGCGAATAACAGAGATGAAATCCTGTGGTCCCGAACCGGACCCTCTACAGCAGGGATGGGCAAACTTGATCCTCGAGGGCCGGTGTCCCTGCAGAGTTTTGTTCCAACACTAGTCAAACACACCTGAACAAACTAATCAGTGTCTTCAAGATCACTTGAACTCTATAGGGAGGTCTGTTTGAATAGGGTTGGAGCTAAACTGTGCAGGACACCGGCCCACCACTGCTCTACAGCCTAAGGCTGCGCATAGGAATTCTGTCTATTAAAAGTTATGAATAGTGGAGAAAAAGTACTGATTCATCAGTAAAAAAGTAAAAGTGCACCTTTTTAAAACTACTTAGTAAATTAAAATTTTGAGAAAAACCCAATACAGTAGTTTGAGTATTTGTAATTTATTACTTTACACTATACTGCCGACTACTTGATATTGAACGCTCAAGAAAATACAGAAAATCTTAAATTCTAGATAAAACTCTAGTGTTTTAATGGAAGAAAAATAATTACAGTAAATTACTGTAGTTTATTGTGCCTATTATTTACAGTATTTTCTGGCAGTTTTGCTGCTGGAATCTTATAGTATACAGTACACACACACACACACACACACATACACATCTTATGTATATTAACGATGTGTGTGATATGCTGTATACCAGTGTTATTATGTTTATGCAAACATTTTATTTTTACCTGACAACACTACACTATAAAAAAATCCTGGTTGCCTTAATTTTAAGCTGAATCAAAATAACTTATGAGTCCACTGAACTTCTGTTAATCTGACTTAAAACTTGTGTAACTTTATAAAATAAAGTTAGAACATGATTAACTTAGTTTAATAAGTTACAATGAACTAAAACATGTGCTGTCAGGACTAATTGGTCATATAATTTTTACAGTGTTTCTGCAACAGTATTAAAAGACTTTTTTTTGTTTTGTTTTAAAAAATGGATTATAAGAAAATACCAAATGGTTTCTATCTTCTATGAGCAGTACATTTCATATCTACCCATCATTCATTTGTTTATTATTGGATGTAGCAGTAACTGCACTGTAAACAATAAATCTTATGCTTAAATGCTGCCTATATTTTTAGTTGTAGTCTTCTCATCTCAGTCAGAATGACTAAAAATATCAAGTTATACTTTCATTCATTCATTTTCTTTTCAGCTTAGTCCCTTTATTAATCCGGGGTTGCCTCAGAGGAATGAACCGCCAACTTATCCAACACGTTGCCCTTCCAGCCGCAACCCATCTCCGGGAAACACACACACACACACACACACACACACACACTACAGACAATTTAGCCTACCCAATTTACCTGCATTTTGGACTGTGGGGGAAACCAGACTACCCGGAGGTAACCCACGCGAACACAGGAAGAACATGCAAACTTCACACTGAAATGCCAACTGACCCAGCCGAGGCTCGAACCTGCGACTCTCTCTTGCTGTGAGGCGACAGCTCTACCTACTGCGCCACTGCGTCGCCAAAGTTAAACTTTTTATAACTAAAAATATTTAGTTGGAACCTGATTAACTGATTAAAATTAAAGTAAGAACCATTTGTTATTAGGACTTTTTGTCATAAATGTACATTCCCTTTCCTTTTCTATCAATAATCCTTTTCGTACAGTGAAACAGTTATATTGCTTTAAACATTTCTGCAATCAATTTGCAGTGTAATTTAACCAAAAACTGAATTCCAGCAATAATCTGGTAATGTACAACTTCTTTTTGACGAAAATTCAGGGGGGGGGGGGTGCAGCATCCAATTGGAGTATGCAACGGCTGCCACAGGACAACGGCGCAAGTGTGCTCACTACACAACAGCTATTGGTGGAGTGGAGAGACAGTGATGGAGCCAATTTGGTGGATGGAGGTAATTGGGAGGCCGTGATAGTAAGGGCCTATAGAGGGACTTTCTTTATTTTATTTTTTTACAGTGTGACTGCACATCGTCTATCATTATTTACATTCTCTGACAGTCAATTTTTGTTTTTCAGGTGTTTGGCCTTGGCACTGTTGCACAAGTGGTTACAGGAGAAGGTTATTTTGGTGAATATCTCAGCATTAATATAGGCTTTGGGCTGGCAGTGGCTATGGGTGTGCATGTTGGTGGAAAAGTGTCAGGTGAGATTCTCCAGATCGACTCCAAACACCAGCTCAATGCTGTTTTCAATGCTAACAGAATATGTTTAACCCAAGACTTCAATTGGAGAAAGTATAACAACCAAAATGATGAATATGCTTCACCTCCTTAATTTAAAAAGCCAATCATTCATTAGTAAAGTCACTGCGGCTGCCATTTTGAAACTGGCTGCTATATAAACAGGCAACATACTCAGATTCGCACTCATGACTGAAAAAAATGAGCTTTTTGATGCTATTTAAACTCTGTTGTCACTGAATTTAACTTGTTTTGAAATATGAAATTTATCTGTAAGCTTTGTGGGCCGTACAGAACTTGCTGTATTCAAAGAGATGCATTTGGATGTTAGAGAAATGTTTCAAAGATGGCCGCCGAGTGAATTGACTCACTTTAAGTGGACTTTTTTTTCACTCAACAACACAGGAGCTCATATGAACGCAGCTGTTTCATTCACAATGTGCGTGTTTGGCCGATTGCGCTGGAAGATGCTGCCGCTGTATGTTTTCGCTCAGTTTCTGGGTTCATTCCTTGCCGCCGGGACCATTTTTTCACTTTATTATGGTGAGTAAATACTAAGTTTGTTTTAAATGTTGGAGTAGGTCAAACAAATTGGCACAAGGTTTCTTTGCTAGCATTTGTTCTGCTTTTTATAGATGCCATAAATCATTTCTGCGGGGGTAATTTGACTGTGTCCGGACCCAAAGCAACAGCTGGGATCTTCGCCACATATCCAGCACCCTATATCTCAGTCTACACTGGATTCTTTGATCAGGTATTTCTGAATGAATATAAATGCAGTGAAAACAGTGGTTTGGTCATTTATGGTTTGTTTTTTCAGTACAGCAGGGGGGAAAATAAATGCACATTCCCTTTTTTTGTCCTTTTTTATTTTGTAAATCAGTTACTAAGTATTATGTTTCTCTGTCTGTAAATTAAATACATTTAAATATCAGTTAATACCATCAACTATAAGGAAGCCAGGCTAGGCTACAAATAAAGACAAAACTGTAAAAAATTAATGATTAAAAAGTCAAGTTTAATGTTGTAGTTGAAACCCGATTAACGTATTAAAATGTTAAAGTTATACGTAAAGTAAAAATATAAATGTGTGAAGTTAAACGTGCTCTTTTTCTGGCAATTTTCCCTCTGCATTTAGACAAAGCAGCATTCTGGTAAATTAGTGGTAATGGTACAACTTCTCTTTCCGGAAAAATGCCAGAATGAATTTACCGGTATTTTCAAAAAGGGCCTGTTCACACATGATCCCTTTCCGGAAAACTGCCAATAATTTTCAGTAAAATTCTGCATGTGTGAAAGGGGCTAGTCGGCTTACCAGTATTTCCCAAAATACCTTCTTTTGTCTGTCATCATCCCTGTTACACTGAATTTTATTGATGAAAGTGTGTTGTTCTCCTAATAAGTTATGGGTGCGTTTTGAGAAAAAAAACAATCAGAGTCTCATCTCCCATTCCCTTTAAGAGTCGGTTGCGTATGTAGCACCATGGCACATTTGCTATTTACATGGTGGACTTTGTAAACGGAAAAACTGAACACTACACTAGCAAGAGAACAGTTAAACGGATCATCTGCAGTTTGAGGGGAAAAAGAACGAGTCTCCTCCATTCGGCCTTTACTTTCACTTTCTCTTTCTCTCTTTTGTGGATCAGGTAACAGTGTTGTAGGCTAAGCACAGACATCCATTAACCTACATAATTAATTTTGTTTGTCAAGCGCAAAGATTTGTTTTAACTACTACTACTTCTAAATTTCAACAAACGAATAAATTAACAATAATAACAAAGTGTGGAGTTATATCCAAATACACATGCTATGCCCCATATGGTCCAAAACTTGACAGGTGGACAAATCTAAGCTTGTGTTAACTTGTTTCTTTAATAAAACATATATAAATATGCATAAAATAAATAATACTGCTGATTTATAATAACATTATACACAAGCAAATTGTCACGAATAAACTGAAAAAGCCCCCCAGAGATGAAGGCATGGAGGTAGTGGTTTTATATTTATGTGGAAAATAATGTTTGTAATATTTCATTCATTTAATTATTTTTCATTTGTAAAGATATTTTTGTATTGCTGTACATTCTGCACATTTTATGCAATGTGTAAGTGAGGCGCACAACTAACACGCTGTGTGCTGGACTGTAGACTGCCTTTCAGCTGGTCTATTGCTCAGTCTATTTTAGTTCCTCAAAATAACAGCGTCAACAATGCACCTTTACACACCTCTTTTCTAGACCGAAACACCCATGAGTCCACAAAGTGGTGCAAATGGATTTGCTATGTTGGGGCGAACATGTTGTGCGTCTTATTGCGTCGGGTGTACGATAGGGCCCTTTCTTTGTTCTGTTGTTGTTTGTTTTATTTTATTTTTGTTTGTCTTTAAAATCTATTCATAGAGATCAACTAACTACTGAAGTGGATCCACAGAGGCAATAATTTGCACTGCTTGTTCTTCACTCTATGTAATTTTAAAATAGAAAAATGTTTTTGTAATTGGGCGTCAGATTTTTTTGAAGTTCTAGCCTGAGGCGTTTTAGGTACTGGAATGACAATTGTGTATATTCCATCACCAAAAAAATCTTTGAGACTGAGCACAAGATGTTCTGCCGTGTCAGTTTGTCACAAAAAAATGTCATGAGAACAACAAACCGTGTTAAGCTTCTGATATATTTAGAATTTTCCATTTTGAACTTTGTGTTTGTGTGTCTGTGTGTCCAATATTTTACAATAAATTTCTCTATGAACACATTTTACACATTGGAAGAGCATCCACTGCGGTTCATTCTGCTGTGTCGACCCCTTTATAAATAAGGAACTAAGTTAAAGGAGAATGATTGAATAAATAAATGAATGTATGAATTTGTACAATCTCATTGGGACATTTTATTATTATTTGCTCATCTCCTAATGTTGGTTGCATCTGGGGATGGACTTTTATATCTATATCTTTATATAAATTAATTTTTTGTTTTTAATTTATTTTTATAAATCCAGGGTTTATTACTCAAATATTCTGATATTTTAAATCAATTTTGCTCAGCAAAAAGCAAACAAAAACAAACTAGTAATCATGTCATTCATCAGCGTAGAATCATTTTAACAATTATAATTATCGAAAAACATGTCACAGTTTGTACACTTAAAATATGCCCTCATGCCATTCCACTTAGTCCTTGGTCCATGACTGAACCTGTTGGACGACAGGTTTCATCCTCTTTGTTGTCGTCCTCTTTGTACCTCTGTATAAGAGTGAGCTAATGGTAACCTTGATTATGATGATGATAACAATTAAGAAATGATCTGAAACTGAATATCATTTTTATGTAAGAAAATGCCTTTTAATAATCAAAAATGCAATTAAAAGCTGTGTGCAAACATATACTGTAAAATGCACTTTAGTTTTCACATTTTTCACACGGTTCGGATGGCATAGGGCCTACTCGCACTATGGTATCCAAACCGTGCCCAGGCCCGTTTCCTGGATCGTTTGAGAAGTGTGAGTGCACTGAATCGGGCTCAGGCACTGTTCACTTGGCCGGCCCTGGCCCAGTTGGAAGAGGTGTGCCTGAGTGCGGTTCACTTGGGCTTTGGTGGGGTACGCTTGTGTGTGAGCTCAAACGCGACTGAAAGCGAGACGTGACTTTAAGGACTTAAAGTTTCATATGGATTTATTAATCATTCTTACTGTACAGTGAACGCAAACTCCAGTCATTTACTGAAGATGCAAACCCTTCACTGCACCACAGCTTCGCCTTCAGCAAACTTCCTAATTCCTGCAGCCCGAGGACTTTATGACTCTTTATGAGCGTCAAAATTGGCTGATCTGTTCAGTGAAATATTTGACTGTGTGTCACTGCATATCAAACCACTAAAACAATATAACTAAAGACTTCTCCACTGTGCTGAGCGAGAGCGCTTCTGACCAGCGCTTCATCGAAGACGTAAGCGTGCCCAGGCCCGAATGTTTTGTGAGTTCGAGCTGTCGGGGGAGTCAGGAGGGGGGACAAGCGTGCTTTAGCCCAGTTCAAGGCAACTGTACATAATACGCCCATAGGCCCTTAATGATTGATCTCTGGGAGTCCTACAAGAACGTGTTCCTTGCCATTCCACATGACTTTATTATTAAGTTATTTGAGTCAATGCAGAGATGTATGGATGCAGTCCTCCAAGCTCATGGGAGTCATACACAATATTCATTCTTTTTCATCTTAACAATGACTTTATATTCTATACTGCACATTATTTCTGTTAAGTGACAAGAGTTTTGTCTAAGCAAAGCCAGACCTTACTGTCCTTATTAAATAATTAAAAATCAAGGCATGATCATATTTAATTTTGGTAAAATAAGCACAATCTAGAGGCCTTTGCCTTTTTATATGAGCCACTTCTGATACTAATGATCAACTAAAAGTCAAGTTATTTGTTGTTCCTTGTTAAAGTGCCTTTACACTCCTAAGTAAAAATATTGTTCAGCCTTACCCAATTTTAGATGATTTTTAAGAATTAAAACTTTGGATTTTAGAATGAATATTGAGTCATTAAAATTATAATATATAAAACTAGAAATTAAACGTTTATCACGAGGGGGTTAAAAGAACATCAAATTTGTTACATAAACACTGAACAAATCAAGCATGCAAAAACTTACAGATCAACAACAAGCCTTGCCCATGCCCAGAGAGAGAAGTTTGACAATGTGGTAATGTTTGTGACAGGTTGCTGGCACGGGCCTGCTGTTGTTGTGTCTGATGGCTCTGTCAGACCAAAGGAACCAGCCGCTGGTGTCTGGAGGTGAAGCCGTCGGTGTGGGGCTTCTAGTGATGCTCATCGGCGTCTCTATGGGGAGCAACAGCGGTTACGCCATCAATCCCACACGGGACCTGGGGCCACGGCTCTTCACACTCATGGCAGGATGGGGCACAGAGGTTTTCAGGTGAATGAATATTAAACAAAGCCAATTTAAATAATTCATTTTTATTGTTGAACATCTTTCTAATGTTTTTACAAGTTTTAATAATTTAACATGCTTTTTTAAAACTGAGTATTACGCATGAATTATAAAATAAAAAAAAAAGATTTTATTACAATTATTACTGTTATGTAAAAACATCTAGACAAACAGATTATTAAATGTGAAAACAGTGGGCGTGGCTTAATTTTTTCTACTACGAGCTGATTGGATGTAGTAAGGTAGGCATTTCATTCAGAAAGATCGGGAAAAGGGTTTAGGGAGAGTTGTTACACCCAACAGACTTCTTCTCACCATTTCTGTTTGTTGTCAAAACTGACAGTTGGAGGGGCGTGGTTAAGTATGTTAGCCACGCCCAAAACCTCAGACAGATGTAATCTGAGAATTAAAAACAAACAGGAAGTGCATTTTCAGAATTTAGTTTTATATTGCAAGAGCAAATAATTTTTTTTCTTAATGACATGCACAGCTGAATTGTTCACCACAAAACTGGCAACGCGAGCTAACCAAATCATGTGGTTAGTTTTGATTTCATTTGTACTTTTTAAAAACACCAGTTATGATCGTAATAATTATCTAAAAACAAAAATGTGAAGATACATTGCTGTTATTTATTTGATTGTTTGTCTCACATTTGTTAAAGATATTGATTTTAATGTATGACATAATTGGATGAAATTTATACTGTCGTTTCAACTTCTTCCCAGGGCAGGCAATTGCTGGTGGTGGGTACCCTTGGTGGCTCCTTTTATTGGAGGAGTTTTAGGGGCTTTAATCTACAAAGCACTTGTAGAACTACACCACCCTGATCTTAAAAGCACTATAACACGGCCAGCAGTAGATCCTGAATGCATTCCTCTGGACAAGTGCAAGAACGGCAGAATTGAGATACCTGTGTGAGTCCATTACCAGGTAAAAACCCAAATAAATGAAGGAAGCAATGAAGTAAAGTGACATTTCCACTGGGAAAAGCTGGAATATTCGCAAGCAACAAAACATGTTGTCGAGTTGTGCATTTCACAGTTGTGGATGTTGAACAGGGGTGTCCAAACACAGTCCTTGAGAGCTGGTGCATAGTTTAACTTCAACTTTCTTCAACACACCTGCCTGAAAGTTTCTACTATACCTAGAAAGAGCTTGATTAACTGGTTCAGGTGTGTCTATTTGGGGTTGGAACTAAACTTTGCAGGGCCTTGACCCTTCAGGGCCAAGATTGGGCATTCCTGATGTCGAAAAAGACTAGAAAAACAACTGTGGTCCACATCCTATACTTATAAATAGGGAAAAAGTGCAATACACTCGCTCTAGAGAAGGAAGTCCTGTCTTCCCACCAGAATAACCTGCACTCAATTTACTTTTGCTGCTTGTTCAAACTGCTTATTTAATGAGTTGAACCAACCTTAAGTTTTTGGGAGATGACTTAATTTTATGTTTTATCCACTTAATTTGTAAAAACGATGAAGTTAACCAATTTGTGTTGGGACAACATGAAGGAATTGTGTAGAACCCAACATTTTTTTACAGTGTACATCATTTTGAGGGATGTAAACAATAGCAATGGTGCTAACGTAATTCCTGTACTGGATTTGTAATTTCTTTAGCTTCAGGGAAATTAAAAAAGCTCCACATATTGATAAATAACCCTATGGCAGGTGTTTTAACATGAAGTTATCATTGATCTGCCTCTTGTTACGAAATAGTTTGACAACAAGCAGGAAATGTTCAATGGGCCAATGACATCACATTGAAATGCTCTAGTTAATCTTTACAGACGGGTGAATCTTCAGCAGAGGAGCTGAACAAACTCTGTCATTTTACTACTGTGTGCCTGTGCTGCATCTGAAAGCAGAAATGCCAGAGAGACTTAAACACAACATCCTATCACACATCGTGTCTTTCCAAAGATGTCCACCAGTCTGTCCTCCAGCTTCTGCTTCTTTTGTGCTAGCCTTTGTATAGGCAACTGCTGAAAAGGCCAAAAAGGAGCTTAGTGTTGTGAAAGACAATATTATTTCATGCATAATCACTGAAAAAATTATAATTGGAGCATTAGCAACAAAAGTAATGTGACCAGTCACTTGAGATGCTGTAGCTGGTTTGAGATGTTTGTTTTAACCCTTTTGTATTGTTCAAATGTACTACCATTTTGGCATGTTCGGGGCTGTTTTTGCCCCATTGACTTCTTTTTATAACAACAAATTTTTGAATGCAAAGCCATGACACCAAATAATCATGTGTTCATGGTTGTCTGTGTTTTTTCCTGTTGGTAAGAGGTAGAACTTTTTTTTTTTTTTTACTGTCGATTATCAGTTGGCACTAATAAACCTTTAGATAGGCCTGTGCAAATAAAGTTTCTGACTTTTATAAGGAGTTCTATGGAGTAAAACAACTAATTACTGTGTATGTGCATAAATACACTTCGGCCCAATCCCAATTCTATTTTGGTACCCCTTCCCCTTAAAACGGAGTGTGAAGGGGAAGGGCTTCCAACTTTACCCCTAAGAAATGGGACAGCACTACAGCACCTGCACACATCATCATATGTCATCGCAGTCTCTCAGATGATGGCGACTGCTGTAGTTATACCAGTTGTGTTATTTTTTTGTACTTATTTTCAGGAAATCACTGAAGGTATATGTTATTTTATCATGACAATCTAATGTGGCAATAAGATCGTAACTGTACTGTGTATTTACACAGTGACCATATTAATCTATGTAAACACACCAAAAACAACATTAACACTATAGCAGACACAGTAAAAAGTTCATTCTCAGCCACTAGACTTTTCTGACAGGGTATTTGAGTGTCAATGAGTGTCAGAATGTTGTGGGACTGCTGTACAGGAGTTATTATGGATTATAGCTCGTGAAATTTAGTAGTTTTTATTGTAGTGTTTTTTTTAAGCATGACTGTAAAGCTTGAACGCGGTTAAGAATATATTAAAACGTGCTTTTTTGTTGTAAAAATTCATAATAAGAACAAAAAAATTGTGGATCTCCTTACTTCCTGATGCAGCTATTGCCGTAGTAGATGGTGTATTCTGGGAATTTTTGTACCTTTTGGTTTTGAGTGTGGTCCAGAAAAATCTCAGTTTAAAGGGCTATCTACCCCCTCCCCCTCAGCACTACGCCTTCAAGCTAACGAGAATTGGCACACCCCTACCCCTTCACAGAAATGTGCAAAATGAGGGGAAACAGGAATGTGTAGAAATGGGATTGGGCCTTACTTTGTTCTAAAAGCTGAGCTGCTTATTTTTTATTTTGTCAAACATATTACCCTCTTAAGGCCAAAAGTGTTTTTTACATGCATTTTTTATTTCTCTTTGCTTTTTGGGCTTATTGGAACCTAATTAGAATAAAACCTAAGTACAATCTTTTGATATGATGTACTTTTTATAGAAAAATGATGTCCATATATGTACTGGTGGTCTGAATTGACATAAAAACCCTTTTTCAGACTGTTTTGTAATGCATATACAACATAGAAACTTTTTGAACATGTTTTGACTATCAGAGTAAAACAACACCCCCCCCCCATTTTGGACAGTTAAAAATAGTGTTTGGGACATTTAATATGCTGCAAAACAGTTGCAGGATGACACTGTATGTCTGTAACAAAATATAAAACATTCAAAGTATTTTAAATAGCCACTTAAGAGCTAAAATGTGCTGTCTGCGTATGTGGCTACTAAAGCCCTAGGAGGTTAAGGTAAGTGCGAGAAGGTCTCTCTCGCACATGCGCACTATACTCACTATATAACTAAATAATTTTAAGCCAGAAACTAAACTTTTTTTTTTTTTTGCACTTCAACTGATGATTAACAGTAAAAATGACAATTTTGACCTTTTTCCAGCTGGGAAAAACAGCAACAATCAAGAATGCATGATCATTTGGTGTCATGGCTTTGCAATCAAAAATTTGTATCATTATAGAAGACATTGGAGAACAGTCACAAACATAACACAGTCACAAACATAATGAAAGGGTAGCAAATTTTCCTAGAGTGTATTGTTGAATTTTTGAAAACTTTTAACGCATTTTCCTAATTTTTATCAAAATAAGAATTGTCACAAAAAATTATTTAAATTTGCTGAGTAACAGAGAATGTTGCTGCCAAATTAAGACTCAAAATCACCTCAGAGTGGATGAAAACATCTCAAACAGCACACAAGGGTTAATATGTTCAGCAAACAGTTTGGGAGATTTTAGGATTCCCCCATTCATTTAAATAGGACTTGGATGAGATGCCCGGAGGGCTTGCAAAAATGGCCATCGAGTGAACAGACTTTCTTTTAAAGCATAGGTCTCAAACTCAATCCTTGGAGGGCCGCAGCTCTGCACAGTTTTGCTCCAACTCCATCAAACACCGCTGATCCAAATAATCAAGGTATTTAAAAAGTCAGGAACACCTTCATTAGTTGGATTAGCTATGTTTGATTAGGGTTAAAGCAAAAATGTGCGGAACTTGAGTTTGAGACCTATGTTTTAAAAAGACTTTGGTGCCACTCCTTTTAAAGTAATAAGCTAGTGAAGAATCTCAAAACTCAAGTATGTCCATCATCTTTAATAAATATTGTACACAGACAGACATAGACTTTTTTGGACATCGACTGATTAGCTTAAGTGAAGCTAAATTGCTAGTGTGAGGCAAAAGAAGAGTCAGCATTACACTGGGTCATCGTTTGGCTACACTGTGTCTCCCGGAGAGCCCTTGTCCTTTGGCTGTGCCCGTACCGCTCGCTGGCACCTGTGCTGGCTGCTTCTTTTTTGGAGTGGGTGGCTTGGCTTTGCCACGAAATGCCTTTGTTGGGTCCAGTTTGTTCAGAAAAGGCTCACTGGATGTATCGAGATGGGGGTCACTGTGAAAGGTCAGGGGCTGGTAAAGAGCGGCCCATTGCTGCATCAAAATAAAACCAATGCAGGATTTAGGGATTAGGTTTGATTACAAACTGAAACTATGAACATACACTACTGTTAAACAACACTCCTTTATGAAGGAAATTAGGACTTTTTTAAAGAAGGAATAAGAAATACATTTTATTCTTGTTAAAATGAATGATAAATGTATATAATTGTTAGTGCTACACTGTGAAGTGCATTCTACAGTTCAGCATTAATCTATTTCTTCAAGTTAAACGATGTTTGTTCATTGTGAATGTTCATAAATTGCTTTACACTCTTTGTGTTCATAATGATGACACATTCATGTTCAAATAAAGCAGTAAAACTCTAATGAATTAACTTTCAGATTGCGATTCACATAAATCAATAAACCAATTGCTTCGCATCTGCAAATGATTCACTGTTTCAAAGCATTTGAAACACCTCATCAGGGACACCTGCTGGTTAAAACCATGTAAAAGCAACAAAATCTCAGCAAAACTGATTAAAACAGGCTTTGAAAGTACAACCTATCATATGCACCAAGTTTATCATCTACTTTCATTAAATATTAAATGTCAACATAATATGCCTCATTTATATATTTTTAAATTTTTTTTCTGTTTGTTCTTTTGTGGGCTTTGCTAAACCGCACAACATGAGACTTTTAACTTAAATGATACTCTGTTTTACAAAAGTCTCGTTAAAATGGGCCTTTTCAAATGTTATTGCACGGTCACAGTAGAGTTTGAGCATGCGGAATTCTATCGTACGGTGCTGCGAAAGAGCGGGATTAAACAAGATAATTAGACATTTAAAAAAGCATGCGATAGGTCCATATTTAAAATGTCTGCACAGAGAGGTCATGTTTTGATGTTGTGTCATTTTGTTTTATCGTGGGCCGGTTAACAGGACAGCTAGGGACTCAACTAAAATGATACTTTTTTTGTTTTACAAATATCCTATTAAACCAACTTTTAAAACTTTTTATAAACTCATCTGAGTGAACCTGCATGAATAATGTGATTACAAATACTGAAATGTTTCAGAACAGAAATGGTGCAACAATATTTACTGAAATCACATGACCTTGCCAATTTTTATTCAAACTTTGAACATCTGTTTGAAACAAAATATTCATAAAGATTATAAGGCTTCATGAAGTAGTGCTTTAAAAGCAGGAATCTCTACTCTGGAAATTAAGCAAGCTCTGGAAATTAAGTGAATGTGTTCACATCTTCACATAATGACACGGCAGATGCTGAAAACATCACAACCTTCAGGATGTGTACAGTATAAAAAAGTGTAACTCATACACACAGAATACAGTGCATCTGGAAAGTGTTCATATTCATAACATATTTTTTTTAATTACAGCCTTATTCTAAAATGGATTAAATGCATTTATTTCCTCAAACTTCTACACACAATACCCCATAATGACAATGTGAAAAAAGAATTTTTTTTTTTTACATTCATTGCAAATTTATTAATATTAAAAAACCTGAAAAGTCACATGTACATATGTATTCACAGCCTTTGCTCAATACTTTGTTGATGCACCTTTGGCAGCAATTACAGCCTCAAGTCTTTTTGAATATGATGCCACAAGCTTGGCACACCTGTCTTTGGGAATTCTTGAACCATTCCTCTTTGCAGTATCTTTCAAGCTTTATCAGGATGGACGGGAAGTGACGGTGTACAGCCATTTTCAGATCTTTCCAGAGATGTTCAATAGGATTTAGGTCTGGGCTCAAGCTGGGCCACTCAAAAACATTTATCAAGTTGTTGTGAAGTCACTACATTGATATTTTGGCTGTATGCTTTGGGTCATTGTACTGCTGGAAGATGAGCCGTCGCCACAGAATGAGGTCAAGAGCACTCTGAAGCAGGTTTTCATTCAGGATGTCTCTGTGCACTGCTGCATTCATCTTTCCCTCTATCCTGACAAGTCTTTCAGTTCCTGCTGCTGAAAAACATCCTCACATCATGTTGCTGCCACCACCATGCTTCACTGTAAAGATGGTATTAGCCTGGTGATTAGCGGTACCTGGTTTTCTCCAAATGTAACGCCTGGCATTCACTCCAAAGAGTTCAATTTTAGTCTCATTAAAGCAGAGAATTTTCTTTCTTATGGTTTGAGAATCTTTCAGATGCCTTTTGGCAATTTCCAGGCAGGGGGTGGCTTCTGTCTGGCCACTCTACCATACAGGCCTGATTGCAGATTGCTGCACAGATGGTTGTCCTTCTGTAAGGTTCTCCTTTTTCCACAGAAGAACGCTGGAGCTCAGACAGAGTGACCATCGGGTTATTGATCACTTCCCTGACTAAGGCCCTTCTCCCCCGATGACTCAGCTTAGATGGCCGGCCAGCTCTAGGAAGAGTCCTGGTGGTTCCAAACATCTTCCACTTATGAATGATGGAAGTTACTGTGCTCATTGAAACTTTCAGAGCAGCAGAAGTTTTTTCTGTAACCTTCTCCAGCCTTGTGCCAGAAGACAATCCTGCCTCGGAGGTCTACAGACAATTCCTTTGTCTTTATGCTTGGTTTGTGCTTTGACATGCACTGTCAAACCTGGGACCTTATATAGACAGGTGTATG